TGCCTTCGATGTGGAGCTCGATTTACAATGCATAACCTGGATCGAGAGAATTGTGGTCACGAGGGAAATACGGAAACAGTTGAATGATGCTACATATTCTCTTAGGGAGGGAATTACGAAAGGGAATTATGGGAAACAAAAGATGAAACACGAGTGAAGTTAACATCTAGTTAATTAATAAATTCGTCAATATTAAGTTTATACACCTAGAGCGTTCTGGTTAGTTCTATTTAGTTAATTAGTAAATAAGGCAATCTGAAGTTTTTGTATTTAAGACGTTATAAAGGTTCGAATGATCGAGCGATAACAAAAAGCCCGCGTGTCTTTTGACGACTGAAATCATTTGAACCAGTTAACGCCTGTGGTACGTACAATATTTTATTTCTTATCTACTTTTAATTATTTAGATTGACTTATTTACTAACTAACTAGATGTTAACTTGACTCGGTTTGTCTTTTCATATTTCTCTCCCATAATTCTTTTCATAATTTCCTCCGTAAGAAAAAGTGTTGCATCATTTAACTGTTTTCATACTTCTCTCGTAACCACGATTCTCTCGATCCAGGTAAGATACGCCGTGATTATCAACATAGTTCTTATTTTTCCATTAATGAATTAACTTCATGGGGAGAAAAAAAATATGTCCATTATGTATTTGGGACCGACGCTTCTACAGCGTACTCCATAGATCTGAATACGGAAACTTACTGAACTATTAAATTCAAACGCCTCCAATTCCAAAATAACATTTATTTGTAATAATTAAAACAAAAAAGCTTTATCTAATATAATATGCCTCTAAAATAACATAATACTGCATTTGATTAACAGAAACAAGTTCTCATTCAATACCTAAGTTTATCTTTTGTTCTAATCTTTTAAAACAAGTCTTTTGTTTTTTACGTCCATCTATCAGTACACTTCACTTTCAACTTTCTTCAATATTTCAGTCCATACACTTTTCGTTAATATAGTTTTCAATTAAATATGCAGTAAATATGAAACTACTTTCTACTACCCTGACTAACAAGTCCATTTATAATTTCGAATCTATTTCAAAAGTCCATTTCCCGTTTGTATTTATGTACGTCCATTTTCCGACTGAATATGTCCGTTTCCATCTTCCGTGTGAGAACGTTTACTACCCGTCTGCATTTCAGAACGTCTAGTTCTCGTCTGGTTGTTGATTTCGTTTCTCCTTCTTGCCTTGACCGTCTCCATGACATCGAAAATATTGCCAACTTGTGTTCTCATCCCAAGTAGGCCGGGCATATGCATTTTGTTCTTGATATTCGAAATAAACATATTGAATTTCATCTCGTTACCATATCGAGTTTCGAACGGAAGGAAATAATAAGCAATAACGTATCAGTGGAAAATAAACTTATTTATTAATGACTTATTTATTTACTTACAACTTATTTAACAATTAATAGCAACATGAGGAAGAATATTTAATCGATTTACCATGAATTGCGCTAAAATAATGCTGATTTCACGAAACAGAAGAATTCGAACTCGCTACGACACCGCTACCGTAGCAACACTTATACAGGCTTTAGATGTTTCCAATTCCAGTTCTGATTTACCTAATGAACAAGAAGAAGAATTAATATCGGCGTCCGCTGTGGTTTCAGAGTTATTCGATTTATTCCGGAGTATGAGAAAGCCGAAAACCTCAAACCAATTCGACACAGAATCTGCTTGATCTTGGGGGTCTTGGGTAGACGTGTAGTTGCAGGGTTATTCACACGTGAACGTGCGGGACCGAGTTGAACTGCGGCTTCTCTCTCTCTACTTCGCCCGATTTTCGGCCGCAAGGACGACGTGAGTAAATATTTCATCGTAGAGGGCGTTCGAATCATGGCCATCGCACTCAAGCACGGGTGGCGAGTCGCCGCAACGAACGCATCGAAAGACACGTGCCAAGACTTGGGAATCACTGCCACGTGCCTGCGACTCTTATTACTACATCGTCCTTCCCTCGGGGTTGCTGCCAGACGAAGGCCTTTTCCCGAGGCCGCGCGACGAGGGCGCCGTCACGCGAGGCCGGCAAGAAACAGACGTCGACGACCGCATCGAATAGGTACGGTGGTGATGGGGAGAGCCCACGCGTTGGGCTGTACCCATTCTGGAAATACATGGGTGAGTTCCTCCGGCGCACCGAGTTTTTCTCGTTCTGCGCAACACCAGTTTGCGTCACGAACCACGTGACCACAAAACGGGCACTTCTTTGCAAAGCCAGACTAAACGCTGGCCGCCATGTTGCATGGAGAGCGAGAAGTGATGAAAAACATTTTGAAAGTGGTACAAAGTGACAGTTTTCAACGGTAACCAACGAAAAATAGCACGATGAAGGTGTACAAGATCCAACATTTAAAATAAATGCTTCATAAATATGTTGCAATGTCTTGTAACGAGGTGATGTTTGGTATCTGTCTGCATTTCAAATTCCCGCTAATATTGTGAAACAAACCGGTGACTGAAGCTCATTGGCTGGAGTCGGATACGATGAGAAAGAGCCCCCCCCCCTCTGGCTATGCCCCTGCCCCATTGGCCGCTCCCGCGCGACTTGCGTTTTATCGGCGCGCATGGACGCAGTAGTGACCAGGGCCCGGCAACTCTCCATCAAAACTGGGGACAAAGCTCGAGGTTGCTACTATAGGAAGCGCT